AAGCTAAGAGGGAGCTCAAGCGTCAGGTGCGTTGTATACCGTGTGGGTGCTGTTGTGGATACTGCTGTTAGTTGGCTTGGTGAAACGTGGCGACGTAGCCGTGATCGAGTGGTTCCCCCGCCTATCGTGTGTCAGCTGCTGTTGATGTTTTGTTTTTTTTGCTGGTATCGTTGCTGGCGTCCGCTGGCGCTGGTGTAGTTGACGTCGTGTGGGATCGTTTTTTGTCTAACGAGACCAAGCACGGGCGTCAACGATCCAACTCTGTAGTGCTCTTATTCATTCGTTGCCGTGGTCACAACACGTTTGTTTGTTACTCGATGTTTGAGTCGGAAATGTTTTTGCGAAGCGGGAGTGTATGCCTTGTTGTGAGACGAGGGGATCATGACATTGGTGAAGGGAAAGACAGCCACCGCTAACCACACCACCTCCACCACCACCACCACCACAACAACAACAACAACAACAACAACAAGTATCACTAGTAACAATGACGGTCGGCAGTCCGGCACGCGAGGTCCTGCAACACGGGTCGGTGCCCGAGACAGAGAAAGCCTCCTTGTCTCAAAAAGGTGTGAAAAACACGCGTGTGCCGCGGGGCTGGCATCGACGACAACGCGGCGACCGTTTCTCAAGGGGCGAGGACACTGGTTGGAGGCTGCCTTTTGATGCTCTGCTGCCTGCCCACACGTGCATCCCCTCTTGGGCGGTAAACAGAGCCTGGGGGAGCTGGAGAGGCACCTCGCTGCTATGGACGCCTCGGTGGCCGCTTCCTCCTCTGGCGGTGGTGACGGTGCTAGTAGTGGCGCCCCTCTCCCTTCGTCCTCCCCCCTGCCTGCAGACATGGAGGACGCACTGGCGAACGGGCTGAGGCACATGTCCGGCAGGGTCGGGGCGAACTGCGGCGAGCGAAGGGCGGTGGTGAGCCACCAGCTCAGGCTGCTGGAGGGCCTCGCGGCTCCGCCGCACACGCGCGTGCTCATGTGGCTCGCTGTACAGGTGCGCTTGGTTTTGCGGATGATTTTTGGTTGTATTTTTTTTTTTTTTGTGCAGTGAAGGCAGGCCCCTGTCCATTACCGAGAGAGATCCTGGCGGCTTCGCCGCACTCCCGTGTGCTCATGTGGCTCGCCGTGCAGGTGCGCTTGGTTTTTGCGGGAAATTTTCATGGCATTTTTTTTTTTGTGTGTACATGTGCTGCGTGTCTGAAGTAAGGTGTGAAGCTCTCTCTGCGTTCCAAGCAAGCATGGTTGATCATCATCTGTTGCTGCTGGGTTGCTGGGAAGAAAACCAGGGCGAGAAAGAGGAAGACCAATCCTCCAATCCTGTCTGGGCACAAATGAACACGCAGCACTACGCCGCCCATCTTGGTACCCTCTGGGATGATCTACTTTTTCGGGGATCCGTTTATTCTCCGACAATCCTTGCGGGAAAATATTTCGTGGATCTCAATGTTTGCTTTTTTTTCCCGCACACACTGCTGCCGGGATGTTGGTGAAGCTTTCAGGTGTTGAGGTTCCAATAGAAGATGCGCTGCTTACTTTTTGATGATGTCATGCCGCGTGCCGTCCAGCGCGGCGGCCATGCCTTTTTTTTTGTTATTACGTCCTTTTTCGTTTTGTTGTCGTTTCCGTTTGCAGGCGGCACCTCCCCGTCCGCCCGTGTGCGTTCCCCCTGACAAGCTGTTGTTGTACCTGTGATTATTGCTGGTGTTGTCGGTGGTGATGGCGTTTTGCACGGAGCGCTGGCTACGAGTTACTCGCTCAAAGCTTGTTTTGCGCAAACAAGAGTGTCATATGGCCTTCAACATACTGCTCGCTGCACGAGTGCTTGCTTCCTCTACGTGTTAAGCAGCAGTAGCAACTGTTATCGAGTCTTGACCCTTTTCGATGCTGGGGAAATCGGGGTTTAAAGTTGGTTCCAATTCCACGCGCGTCGGGGGGGGGGGGGTACTCATAGTCGTGCATCCGGTAGTGTTTGGACCTTGGCCCTCGCATCCCTACAAACCCGGGAGGGAGCACGCGGGGTTTTCCCCGGACCAATTTTTTCCCCGGGCCAGGGTTTTCTTGGGGGGGGGGGGGGGTCCATACTACGTCACCCCAACGGCGGAGAATGTTGTGTGTGTGTTTTTCCTGCCTCGGGTTTGCCTGTTGAGGAGGACTGTTCTGTTGTCACTGCCCTTGCTGGCGATGGATGCTTCACGTTCCCCCGTCCTTGCTCTTTGCGCCTTTCCCCCTTCATTTACTTTTCGAACCAGGATGAAAGCTTTTTCCGGGCGCGACAGCAGCAGCAGCAGCCACCCAACCTAGCTTCGGCCCGCCCACCAAACATCGCCACCGACATCATCAGCCCCGGAAGCGGCGGTAGCGGCGGTGGCGGCGACGTCCGCAGCGCGGCCACGACATTGCCGACGAACCAGACGAACCAGGAGGAGTCTCCTGACAACGGCGGAGGCGGCAGCGGTGGCGTGTCTCCGAGCAGTGCTACCTCGAACACCGTAGTGGCTTCGTCCTCGTGGTCGGCGGGAGAAGAGGGGGGCGGCGGCGGTGGCGGCGGTAGCAGCAGTGGCAGCAACAGTAGCAACAGTAACCTTTGGCGACTTCTCTGCCAGGAGCTGGGGCTTACCGATTCCCAAGAAGGACAGGTGAGGAAGGGAGTTAGGTGGGGGTGAGTTCTGTGCCAGAACCGCAGCAGTAGGGCGGGATGGGGGAT